GAACATCATTAATGGTCATTAATGGTGATCTTTTTAAAAGTGTTTTACCCTAAAAATAATTAAAAAATTATTTAATTTAAGGAACGTTTGATGAAAAAGTTCTATACGTAAAACTTAATGAAATGAGGTCTCAAGGATGTTAAATATTTTTAATATTAAAAAATTTAACAATTTTTAATGGTGTCAAGGCTCTTAGTTACCGTGTGGTTAATTTCAATTTAAGTATTGCCGAATTTTTTTTGTATTTTTATCCCGACAAAGATATAATTGTAAGAAACAACCCAATTCGTTGAAGGGAAAAGTATGGATTTTTCAGCTCGATTTTCCTAAATTTGATCAATTTCTTGCTCGATTTGATAAGGGTTTTCTTCTTTTTCGACCTAGAAATTCTGGGTTTTGTGAAGAAACCCTTCAATGGCGTGGAACGTGTTCAAGTTCTGCACAGCGCTTCGTGCCTTGGGTTCAATCATGATCCTAATCGTAATCGGAATCATCGGATTCACATATTACGCCGTTGTAGTCGCCAATTACGGACCGGCTCTATTCCTCGGCGGTTTCGATTCAGTACTAGCCCTTCTGGTTTTAGCCATGTTTCACTTTCTGGTAAACTCAATTTTCTTCTAGATCAAAATCTCATCTTTCAAATCTTTTGCGATCCTTATGTGATCTTTAGTACCTTAGATCGGATTATGCCTTAGTTAATACCTATTGAATCTTTTGGTTTCTTATACATACACTAGTTACAAGTCAAAGCTTGTAGGTTATTTGTACTAGTTTGAAAATGATTTGGAAAAAATGCTACAGATGTATTGCTTAGACGAAACAATCATCTTTTTGGTTTAGTTTGGTGTAGACTGTAGAGTGACTTTGATTCTCCTGTTGGTTTCTTGTATCTTGTAATTGATTATCTACAATTAAACTTCCACACATTTTAGAATCTTCAGAAAAAAAGAAGCAAAAGAGTCACTTGTGATGATTATTGTTTTGACTGTGTGTAGCTTGTAATGCTATTATGGAGTTATTTTTCTGTTGTTGTGACTGATCCTGGTGGTGTTCCACCGGGTTGGAGGCCAGAACTAGACATAGAGAAAAGCGAAGGTAACCAACAAGCTATTGCAGAAGCTAACACATCAATTTCGGTTGGAGATTCCTCGTGTCATATCGTAAGATACTGCAGAAAGTGCAATCAATATAAACCGCCTCGTTCTCACCATTGTTCGGTCTGTAAGTCTTTTCAGTGTGTGATTCTCTTACACGAATATGGTGGTGTTTGATTTTTTTTAGTTCGTGAAAAAGGTTTCATTTTGGGTTTTCAGGTGGAAGATGCATACTTAAGATGGACCATCACTGTGTTTGGGTTGTGAATTGTGTTGGAGCGATGAATTACAAGTCGTTTCTCCTATTCTTGGTATGTCAAGGAACTTATCATAGCATTGCTGCAAATGAAGTTGTGTGTGAGGGTTATGGGCATAGTACATGAATAGGATTAGAACTCTACTCACGTGATGATTGTTGAAACGTGGGAACTGCAAATAGTTTTTTTCTTTTGATCTATGCTAAATGATTCGCTTTAGAGCATGGTTTCAATGGCACAACCCATCCTTGCACATGCACCATAGATGTTCTTGAACTATTCTCTTAAGTATCATCTTGGTATGTCCATTGCCATTATCTTAACGCAGTTTTACACATGTCAAAATGCAGTTTTACACATTTCTTGAGACAACGGTGGTTGCGATATCATTATTGCCAGTTTTTCTCGTATTCTTTAGCGATGGAGATGATGATATAACCGTATCACCAGGAAGCTTAGCAGCCACATTTGTTGCATTTGGTGAGTACATAGATACATATCTCAA